AAACATCTAAAACAAAACAGACACATGAGGTAAATGCAGCAAAACAATAATAACAGCAAAGCATAACAATGAACTTAAACACAAAACAAACTGGTCATTATATATTACTGACTAAAATGTAGCTGAGTAAAACGTAGATTATTAATCTAAAGCACAAATAATATATTTTAAGAATACTCTGGAAAGTACAAATCCACCAAGACGTTACTGGAGTAAATGTAACTGAGCAAATTAAAATGATTACTACCCTCTCTGAGCTACACAGACTGACGGACTGTGTTCAGTTTCATTGTTGTATTGTTCAGTGTGCTGACCCTGCTGCACTGTGATCAGTCTTAGATTTCATTCTGCAGCCTTTCATTTGTTCCAGCTACCTAAATGACTGATTCTGCTGCACACAAGCTCACAGAATCTCACCTGTCCATCCTCCAAACCTTATGAGCTTCCATGGCTGCACTGCTGGGATGAGACAGCTGTACAGATGTGAAGCTGGGCGGTCGCTATGTTTACAGTGCGCTGCTGGGTGAGACAGCTGTGCAGATGTGAAGCTGGGCGGTCACTATGGTTACAGTGCGCTGCTGGGTGAGACAGCTGTACAGAGCTGAAGCTGGGCGGTATGTTTACAGTGCGCTGCTGGGTGAGACAGCTGTACAGAGCTGAAGCTGGGCGGTATGTTTACAGTGCGCTGCTGGGTGAGACAGCTGTACAGATGTGAAGCTGGGCGGTATGTTTACAGTGCGCTGCTGGGTGAGACAGCTGTACAGATGTGAAGCTGGGCGGTATGTTTACAGTGCGCTGCTGGGTGAGACAGCTGTACAGATGTGAAGCTGGGCGGTATGTTTACAGTGCGCTGCTGGGTGAGACAGCTGTACAGAGCTGAAGCTGGGCGGTATGTTTACAGTGCGCTGCTGGGTGAGACAGCTGTACAGATGTGAAGCTGGGTGGTATGCTTACAGTGCGCTGCTGGGTGAGACAGCTGTACAGATGTGAAGCTGGGCGGTCACTATGGTTACAGTGCGCTGCTGGGTGAGACAGCTGTACAGATGTGAAGCTGGGCGGTCACTATGGTTACAGTGCGCTGCTGGGAGCGGGTGCTAATCTGACGCAGCCGCGAGGTGTAAACAGACAAGCCGCTTAGCCGCTAGCTAACCTAGCGTTAGCCAACTACATACGCTAACCTAACGCTGGTGTCTTCACTCGGCAGATCGACCAGAAATACAGAAAGGTTCACTCCAGCTGACCGTTAGTGAGGCTGCTTATCTCATTCGGTCACTACTCACCTTTTAAAGCAGAGTCTGACTGTTGCAGTCGTAACTCCAGTCGTAACTCCAGTCGTAGCTCCAGTCGTAACTCCAGTCGTAGCTCCAGTCGTAACTCCAGTTGTAACTCCAGTCGTAGCTCCAGTCGTAACTCCAGTCGTAACTCCAGTCGTAACTCCACTCGGTCCGGTCAGTTAACTTCAGTCAGCTACGCAGCTGAAACTCCTCATTTGTGGAGCTGAACGCGTCACCCGGCAGGCGGCGCTGTCTCAGTAAGGAGTGTAAGAGAGTCTTATCAGGTTTAACACTCGCTGAACTAACTCGATTAAACTGACCGCGTTAGCGACCCTGACTGAGTCGCTCACTGTAAACGGCTGTAACGGTCGCGCTTGGCTTTAAAAGGAGGAACGGCGCTCGCGCTTCAACACCGAACGTCCGAGAGGCGGAGTCTCGCGCTCTGATTGGTCTGAAACTCCCGCCAGTCTTTTGTTTGTCCTCCCATAGATCTGTTTTTCCGGTGCGCGCCTCTCTGTACTGAATGAACTGTGCTGCTCTGTTTCTGTTTGTTTGTTTGTTTGTTTGTTTGTTTTTAATCTATACACAGAGTATAAAACTGCAAACCGTTGAACTACATAAAACAGCTGTACAGCATTATCATACAGCATCACTGGAGGCCATGTCTTAATATATTAAAGTCAAAGTATGAAGTTGGACATTTAAACAAAAATCTGTTTATTATGTAATTTTACGAGGTGAAACAATATAGATCTTTATATTTCCACTCAAATACATTTGTTTATTATTGTTTGTGTTTTCCAAATACCTGGAGAATAATTTTGAAAGTTTTACATGGTGTATAAAAAAGTTTGTTTTCTGTTTCTGTTGGGCCAAATTAAACGTCCTAATGGTCAAACTTTGGGCAGCCCTGATCTGCTTAAGGAAATAAACAGAAGTGTAGATGATGAAGAGAGTGAACCAAGTGCTTCTTTGCATTAAGTTTAGGTGGTATGTGATCTCTAAAGTACCCAGGTTAGCTGTTAAGTACATTTACTTCCTATTAGTTCAAAGTTGCTTTATCTTGGTTCCTAGCTTGTTGTCTCTGCTTACAATTGTACATCTGAAAATAGATCAATGTTGTGTTAATCATAGCATGTTTTCTGCAAATGAGCAAAAGGCTGTGACTGACTGTGATTGTAACATTTACCAATGGAGATAAATTAAAAGTTATTCTACCATGAACTTCAATGATGTAAGGAAATGAGTTTAAACTTTTTAAGGTAAGGTAAATGGTTTAAGAATTGATTTTTTCTTTTGCTGTTTTGCTGCTGTAAACACATTTCTGCAATAATCAAAAACAAAACATACAAAAAAAAAAAAAGAATCACAAAAGTACAGCAAGTAAAAACTGTGTCTTAAGACAAAGTGATGTCCTAAGTCGTGCCTCATCTTCAGGACACACAAAATAATTACTTCTTTGTCTTAAGACGTTAACTTTCATGTCTCAAGACAAAGACAGTGTCTTCACTCATACGTCTTAAGACATTCTTGAGATGTCTTGGCATAAGAAAATGTCTCAAGACATCTTATAAATACTGTCAAGACATCTTAAGACATCTTAAGACACAGTGACAGCTGGGTATGTAGTTCTAACTTTTCATTTTCCATACTGGAACAATAATTAGACATAGTTAATCTCACTGAACTAAACTTACACATCAGTGATCATGTCAGCGTATGTACATATGATTTTAAAGTACATCACTGACCCTCCTGTTCTTTGTCTTCTTGAAGAGACTTTGTCTTCTCTTCAGCCCTGCCTGCTGGCCTGTCCATTTGAAAATGATAAACTTGGGCGGAAAAAATAGTTAAATGAGGGTTTTAACCCTTACAGCGAGTGTCGGCTGCTTTCTGTAACTTCAGCAATGGGCCACTTACGATATGCCAGACTTGGGCCAAAAGTACTGAGGTGTAAATCAACCGAGCACGAATCTCCCGCAACTTAGTTTTTCTGTCCATCTTAATTTATGGACAGTGATGATCTCTGGGCTGAAGATTTCGGGCTAAACTGAGACATCCTGCTGTGTGAACTGTCCCTCTGCTGTGCTGCGCTGTATTTGTGTATGTTTTACTCTGAGCAGCTGATACTGAAATGCAGACACGCGCCGGTTTAACAGACACAGCAGCAGCTGGTTTGGATGGATTGTTCGGGTTTTTTGGCAGAAAGGCTCGACTGTGACCCTGAACTCGCCACTTTACTCTGGATAACAGGCTTCAGACTCAGCATATGGATACGCTATGATCGTGCGCGCTCTGGGGCTTTTACGCAGGATGCGCGCTTTTACGCTTATAATGCGCTTTTACGCAGGGTGCGCGCTTTTACGCTTATAATGCGCTTTTACGCAGGGTGCGCGCTTTTACGCTTATGATGCGCTTTTACGCAGGATGCGCGCTTTTACGCTTATAATGCGCTTTTACGCAGGGTGCGCGCTTTTACGCTTATGATGCGCTTTTACGCAGGATGCGCGCTTTTACGCTTATAATGCGCTTTTACGCAGGGTGCGCGTTTTTACGCTTATAATGCGCTTTTACGCAGGATGCGCGCTTTTACGCAGGGTGCGCGCTTTTACGCTTATGATGCGCTTTTACGCAGGGTGCGCGCTTTTACGCTTATGATGCGCTTTTACGCAGGATGCGCGCTTTTACGCTTATAATGCGCTTTTACGCAGGGTGCGCGTTTTTACGCTTATAATGCGCTTTTACGCAGGATGCGCGCTTTTACGCAGGGTGCGCGCTTTTACGCTTATGATGCGCTTTTACGCAGGGTGCGCGTTTTTACGCTTATGATGCGCTTTTACGCAGGATGTGCGCTTTTACGCTTATAATGCGCTTTTACGCAGGGTGCGCGTTTTTACGCTTATAACGCGCTTTTACGCAGGATGCGCGCTTTTACGCAGGGTGCGCGCTTTTACGCTTATAATGCGCTTTTACGCAGGGTGCGCGCTTTTACGCTTATAATGCGCTTTTACGCAGGATGCGCGCTTTTACGCTTATAATGCGCTTTTACGCTTATAGTGCGCTTTTACGCTTATAATGCGCTTTTACGCAGGTTGCGCGCTTTTACGCTTACAGTGCGCTTTTACGTTTATAATGCGCTTTTACGCTTATAGTGCGCTTTTACGCAGGATGCGCGTTTTTACGCGCTTTTAAAGTATTAATATTACAATAACACAATTTCACATTTAAATATTGCTTTCTCATGAAAATCATGCTGGAAAACAAGCTAAAGCGTTAAAAAAGAACTGAACCTTCATCTTTATTGTCCTCTTCTCTACCTCGTTTCTCTAAAGACAAATGTAAAAACAACAGTGGGATTATAAAATTCATGCTGACACTAATCAATGTGTAATCAAAATAGACTGCCAATGATTATTTATATACATAAAATTATGTTCAATTCTACTGTTTAATCACTCAAACTCATATTATTATTACAGAGTTTAGTAAATTAAGTTGAATTCACTTCTGTAATGATCAAACATTGAGTTATAATTAAAAAAGCAGCAGTATAATAAATTCCCCACTGTCTCTATTGCATGTAAAATTTGCCATAACGTCTATACAGCTTAAGTCTGCCAGTGTTTACATGAATTATTAAAACACTACTGTAATGAAAGACAACACCTTGTTTTTTGTATGTAAAGCAGGAGGCTTTGGAAACCGCTTGCAGTCTGAAGTTTCTCCAGCAGGGAGCGCCATTAGCACACAAATTACCATGAATCTACACCAGAAGGAGCTCTTTAACACACCTGTTTACAGTAACGTTTATTATAATGACAGGTGAAGTAGTTTTTAAAAGATGTTGGGTTACTCAGTATTACATCATTTAATATGTGGTTTGTTAAAAATATTCATTAAAACTTTTAAAAAGCATGTACACAAAATAGAATAGAAAGTAGGTCAAGGCTGCAGCAAACCACGTTTGGGAGCCAATATAATCAATAATCACCTTTTTTTTAACTAGAAAATATCATGCTAATTATTTGTAAATATTGCCCAGGCGTATTGCTTAGCAATGCAATTTTCATACATTAATGTCAAAATATGGACTTAATGATAAGGCAACTGATTACACACCTTCTCTTGAGTTATCCCAACTTCTTAGTTGAGTCAAAACTCTCATTTCTCAGTAAAGTAAATAATACAGAATTAGCTTTTTTACACAGTGTCTCCAACAGCTGGAACCCTTTCCATCACACAGTTTCACCAGGCATTTTCTCCTCTTGGGCCTCCAGATATGGACAGCTGAGGCACAGCTGGGGTCCAAACTCACAACCTGCTGATGCTGGAGTGAATACATAGACCCTTGCACCACATCATTTCATTTCATTACTTTTCAAAGTTAAAATAAAATTCACCCCTAGGTGGAGACTGTGAGTTTGAACCCCAGTGATGCCACAGCCATCCGTAAGTGAGAATTAAATGGTCATGTAAAACCTGTATTTTGTGTTTACTTTTGTTGTCTTTGTCTTATATTACATTTTGGTTGGTTTGACATATTTGCAAAAGCAAAAAAAGTCAGAACACTCTTTCACAGTACTGTATGTTTACACTCTCAGTGCGTCGCTTCATACAGACTGATATCTGCTCTGGTTTCCTTACCACACTCTTTCACCATCATCCACAGTGCAAAGAGCAGAAGAACGGCTGCAAATATAATGATGATAATTCTGAAACTTGAGCTTCCGTCTGAAACACAGTGTGTTAAATCTGGGTCAGTGTCCTGTTTCTACTTCGCCAGTCAAATCAATATGAAAAAAATAAATTATTTCTTAAATATTTTTTTCCAGAATCAGATTCCTACCTTGAAGGATTCTGCGAACAGACACCGGCAGCTCTATCTCCTTCTCCAGGCTGCTGTGAAGAATGATACAGGCGAAGTAATTCCTGTCCAGCTCCTCAGGTGAGACAGTCAGAACGCTCCTCTTCTGGAAGGTTCCATCCTGGTTGGGTAGCGTCTCTCTGAGCTCCACATCCTTATGCAGATCCTCTCCATTCTTCTGCCAGGAGATCATCACTGCTTTGGGGAAGAAACCTGTAGCATGACACACCACTGGAGAAGAAGAGTCCCTCTGGAATAGAGACACCTCAGGAGAGACTGGAAAGAGACGTTGCATTGTAGCATTCTGACAAAAGTCAATGGAAACTTTGACATTTTACTGAAATGACAGAAAATGCTGATGTGCAACATGTTTACTCTACCAGGCTGGTGCTGTTACCACACCATTATTAACAGGGCTGCAGTGTGAGGAACACACTGGGAGACCATGGGAGTAATCAGCAGCTCCATGTAAAAATACTTACACTGTTTACACTGAGGCTGCATGTCTATGTTTAATAGAACATTCTCACACTTCCACATTCGTTAATGTAGAAGCTTCAATAGCAGCGTTTAATGGCTTCCAGTCACACTGTCACCAGTGGCATTCAGTGTATGAGGGTGAGAGCACTGTACCTTTCCTCTCCAGAGCGGATCTGCCGTAACCCACATACTTCAGTAACCACTCAGTGCAGGTGTTCTCCAGGTAGTTCTTCACCTGAGCAGCCCAGGCTGTACTCTCCCACTTCTGTTTGGTAATAACAGCTCTAACGTTGGCTGCAGTCCAGGTGAGAGTGTTCAGATCCAGACTGATGAAGTCTTCTCCATCATAACCGTACTGGTCAAATCCTCTCTTGGTTCCATCATCATGCAGTTCACAGCCGTACATCCACTGCACTGTGTGAACTCCTGCAGAGACACAAACACTTCATTCATATTGATGCACAATCCAGGAAAGAAAACCACGTGAGGACTGCAGCCTGACCATCTCAGACAGGGGTCATTTCTGGATTAGAACATGGCAGACAGGAAGGCAAACAGATCAAATAACATGAAGCAATGATTTGCCTTTTGAAATCATCTTTTTGGTAGAAGACTACTCTTTGGTAGTACAGTGCATGAACAGTAAGGGTTGACACTTTATTGGAGCATGTAGCTTTGCAGTCTCGATAGACAAACAGTGGCAGTAGAGGGTCGTACTGATGAGCTCAGTGACTTTAAACATGGCATAGGATGCCGCCTCTGCCACAAGTCAGTTTGTGAAACTTCTGTCCTGCTAGATCTGCCCCAGACAACTGTAAGTGCTGTTACTGTGAAATGGAAGCATCTAGAAGCAACAACAGCTCAGGCACAAAGCGGTAGACCACGCAAACTCACGGTGAGTGCTGAAGCTCTCAGTGTCTATTCTCTGTTGAACATCTCTAAAGAGTTCCAAATTGCCTCTGGAAGCAACATCAGCAAAAGAACTGCACATTAGGAGCTTCATGAAATGGGTTTCCATGGTCGAGCAGCTGCACACAAGCCTAAGATCAAAATGTACAATGGTAAACAGCAGGGCAGTGGAGTAAAACATGCCTCCACTGGACTCTGGCGCAGTGGAAATGTATTCTGTGGAGTGACCAAGGCCCCTTAGTTCCAGTAAAGGGAAATCCTAATGCGTCAGCAGACCAAGACATTTTGGACAATTATACACTTCTAACTTTGTGGGAACAGTTTGGGGAAGAACCTTTTCTAATCCAGCATGACTGAGCCTCAGTGCTCAAAGCAGCTCCACAAAGGCCTGACTGGATGAGTTTGGTGTGGAAGAACTTGACTGGCCCTCACAGAGCCCTGACCTCAACCCCATCAAACACCTTTGGGATGAACTAGAACGGAAATTGTGAGCCAGGCTCTCTCATCCAACATCAGTGTCTTCTGGATGAATGGGCAAAAATTCCCACAGACACTCTCCAAAATCTTGTAGAAAGCTTCCCAGAAGAGTGGAAGCTGTTATACAGTAGCTGCAAAGGGGGACCAACTCCATATTAATGCCTATGGATTTAGAATGGGATTCATAAAAGCTCCTGTAGGTATAATGTGTAGGTATATGGGTATATATATATATATATATGTGTGTGTATAATGAGATGATGACCAACTTTTATATCCAACTTTTCCCTTCATTATTAAGCCTTTTATTGGCAAGAACTATGTATATAACTCATGAAGTGAGGAAAATAGTTGTGTTGCTCTGAGGCAACTGCAGCTTTATTAGTTATTCATATTTTACATGTATAAGCTAAATGTTAAAATGAGCATTATCCTTTCATATATAATATATATATATATATATATATATATATATATATATATATATATATATATGCTGTCTCAGTGTTTAAAGCTCTGAGTGTGTTCATGCTCACCTGTGCTCTGGTTGAAGCGCTGCATTAGATTATCCACACTGGTTCTGAAGTTCTCCTGATGACGCTCACTAATCTGGGTCTCACTGTTCCAGTAATCTGGATCATCAGCGTCACTCTTCTTCATCCACTCTGTTTTGGGGACCATCTTACTGATGTTACTGTCATAGTACACAAACTGCTCCCCATCCAGCATACCAGCCACACAGAACTCTGGGAAGTTTATTCCTGGAGTAACTGCAGTGCAGAAGTACTGCAGAGAGTGTGTCGCTGTCAGGATGAAAAAAAGGTGAAAATGTTACATATAAATTACATTTTGCTCAAAATTCTCATCACATATTAATCATTGTTTTACACTGAAAGAAAAATTTTACTTAAGGCAGATGAATCTCTTAACTTTAGTGGCTTCCCTATAAAAAGATGTGAACCAAAATGATAAAATGTTACTTTTTATGCTCTATTTTGTAAAATGTATCTATTGTAATAATTAATTTTAAAGAAAGATTGAGTTAAAAAAAACATTATTTACACAGTATTTATTTATACATTTCAGGTTTTGTCCCAGTATGTCATGTTTCATAAGAATAACCCAGCAGCATAACAGAGTGTGTACATATACATCATTTAATTGTCTGTCACTGTTCTATTTTTGTAACTTGCAGGATTTTCATATTCACGTGGTCTATTCTGTATCTGTTACGACCCCCAGTCGTAACTGCCCTTCTTTGTGTCCGTTTGTGGCCATTTTGTGTGTTTTTTCCATTGTTGTGTTGTGTGCAGGTGCATGATTGGCCACTCGGGGGCACCTGCCAGTATAAGAGGTCGCTAAGCCACCATCTTGAGAGACGTTCAGGGCTCTTTCCCCTTTGACCCGACCTGGAAGAACACCTGTCCAGACCAGCCCGGCACTCTTCACCTCTGTCTGCTTTGTGACTGTTTGATTATGCTTTGAGGATGGGTGCCATTTTGTTTTGGTTATGTTTTTTTCTCCTGTTTTAAGGAAGGGAGTAGAGTAGCCATATGTATTTTAGTTTTCTTTTGCTTTTAGTTTAGTTGAATTTGAAATCATTAGTTGTTTTGTTTATTTTGGCAATTGCTCGTCCCTGAAGCCATCACCTCAACTTCTTTGAGCTTTTGAAGAAAATAAACCTGTCATTTTCTGGTTTAAACGGTGTCCAGTGTCACTCTCTGTTATGGCCAGACCCTAGACCGGGTCGTAACAGTAATTAAAGACTAGATATCTACTCTCCCCAACCAGAACCAGTCTAACCCTTACCTAACCAGTCTAGATATCTACTCTCCCCAACCTTCACAAAGACAAAAGTGAAGTCAGTGTTAAAGATGTGTACTTGAAGATACACACAATGTCTCAGTCTCAGTTTAACTCTGCCATTAATTCTGCTGTGGTCAGTTAGCATCGGGGTCAGCCGTGTCCCCTTTTTACATTTACATGCATGAAATCACTACTTATTGTATTAAGGGTATTTGTATTTGTTGTAATATTTGTGATATTCTGAGCAGATAAAGTTACTGACCAGATTAATAGCATTTTATAATTTCGTCTGTCTTGTGCACATACATAATATAGATAGATAGTAGATATACGTAATATAGTAATGAAGTACTGAAATGGCTATAGGTTCTTTATGATGTATGTTTTATTTAATAAAATTTCATTTAGTGTGTGTGTGTGTGTGTGTGTGTGTGTGTGTGTGTGTGTGTGTGTGTGTGTGTGTGGAGAGCATGTAGTAATTAATAATTAGCCAAAATAAACAGAATACATCGTACTAATGTTTATATAACTAAACTGAACTCACCTGCTGATGCCAGATTCACGCTGAGTGCTAGAAAAAGAAGAGACTTCATGATTTACTGTATCTTAATGTAGACTAACCTGCTCAGAGTTTCACAGCTCTCTGCTTTAACCAGGCATCATTAAAGTGTGGTACATTTACAGGAAGAGGGTCACTTCCGTCCCCCTTATTCATACACACACATTTTCACACATCACAGGGCTTTATTCATGCATTACTAAATATTTGAATCCAACCACCTCTCCATATTGCACAGAACTCTCTATCATTGTGCTTTTATCCAGTATTACACAGTAAACGAGTTCTTAAACCTGTTAAGTCTTCACCTCAGTGCTCTGGACCATCTGTTTGAGTGCATAAAGTTTTCTTTGGGGACTGTTTTGCCTCACAACACTCTGCATGTATCCCTCCACCACAAAAGGATTTTAAGGCCAAAATCTTCTCAAAACTATCGGAGAACAATGTATTAGGTGCATTAACCATGTCATGTAATAAGTCTGGTTCCCATCACTGTGAATAATTCTGACTAAGTTTCTCTAGAATGGAGCATTTCACACCAAAACTCTGTTTACATCTCAACCACTTAATTATGCCAAAATTTTGAAAAAATGGTGGACTTTCCCTAGACAGACAGGCTTGTTCATTCATCTGGGCCTTCTAATCATCTGAATTACCCCCTAAGCCATTACTTGTTCTTGAACAGACGCAGTTAACATGTTAATAATTGCAACAAGACTTATCTTGTCTTTTACTTGGCTTACCTGCTTGATTTAGAACTGATTTTCAAACTCTACAGGGTTTAAACCTCTTTATGGAGTAAAATGTTCTGAGGACGAGGCACAAAAAGACGAAAGATTATTGCCTGAAAAGCTAAAAACAGGTGGTTGAAAGTATGAAAGTACAGCGTTTTCATGAGAACCGTGACCAGTGAACCCCTCCAAAAGTTTGTGGTTGAAAACTGAGCGAAGAGCTGCAGGTCTAACCACGTTTTCTCCTCACAGCCTCATTACATGCTGCGCAATAAGAGAAAGTCACTGCTAACTGTGAGATTAGAGTTCAAAACACCCACTTTACACTGTACTCCTCTAACCTCAAACACAGACGACATGTTTTGTGCCTGTAGTTTGCTTCTTTAGTTTTAGCAGTGGAGCTACGAGGCTAAGGTAGCTAAATAATAGAAGTTAATACTCCACTAATTAGCATGGTGCTAACTGCATGTCTAAATCATCACACACTCACCTCAAACTGTGTGGAGTTGTTCAGTATCTCTAATAGACTTAAATATGCAGTGTTTTACTTTGTACAGCACACTGTTACCTATAAACATGCACTAAAGTGTGTTAGCTTAAAGCTAAAAACAGTAGCAGCCACCTGAGTTTCACTGTGAGGGAGCTCTGTTGTGCTCCCTGGAAGAAGGTAGGTATAAAATGAACAAATATGATGTTTCATTGTAACATAAATCATATTTTTGGTAAGTAGACTGTAAAAAATAATGCTGCTAGAAATGCTGAAAGACAATAGACAGCCCTTAAAATGCAGGAATATGTGAGGTAACTTGAAAAAAGGGTAGATAACGTAAAATACTGTTTGTGTAAAGAATATTTTTGTAAGGGTTTGACTAATGTGCTTCCACACTGTTTAAGTGTGAAGAGTGTATTGAGCCATATGTAGCGGAGTGTACAACAAGATCAGTTTAAAAGAGTTAATTCCGTGAAAACTTTCAAATGGAAAAATATATTAATGTGTAAGTACTGAACTGCAGTGGAATGTTTTAGTACGTCAAGCATCTATCAGCGTACTATTTCTTTATAGATGGATGTTATTAAATGGTTAAGATGTAAACAGAGTCGTTCAGAGTGGTTTGGTGTGAAACGCTCTGTTCTAGAGAAACTTACAGAGTCAGAATTGTTCACAGCGGTGGTGATAGGAACCAGACGTCCACCTCTAAAAGCTCCCTCACAGAAAGTTACTACATGAAATGGTTATGAATTCACTGCCTGATGACTGAGACACTGTTTTATGGTAGTTTTGAGATGATTTAGACCTACATGCAGGGCGCTGTGAGGCAAAATAGTCCCCAAAGTAAACTTATTGTTTTCAGATTTATGACTATTTCCCATCATCAACATTCCATATAAACTCAGAAGACTTGTGTAGGTTCACTGGTGGTTCTGGATAGTAAATAAAATGTCTATATCTGTGTTGTAGTCATGGCGACCCCTGGTTCCTATCACCACCACTGTAAAGACATCTGAACCATTTCACACCAAACCACTCTGAATCTCTCTGCTTACATCTCAAACACTGAACAATGCAGAAGTTTGGAAAAATCAGTGGCTTCAAAATGTAGGTCCACACTGCTTACTCGACTAATAATCAAATACTGACTGCATTAAAATTACCTTTAAAAAACAACTTTAGAAAAAATACAAAATTAGCAGCTCGAAAAACTACTTAAGTCCTGAGTAACGTCTAGAACTGCAGTGGAACTTCTTGGTACATCCAGCCTCTGCGCTGGAACTGAATTCAGAATTCAGAGGTGTGACCAATCACAAAGCAGTACAGATGGTGTTACTAACAGAAGAGAATGAACTTAAACAGAATAAAGTAATTGTATTAGTGCATCTAAGGTCGTACTAAGTGCTTTAACTCAAAGTAAGGTTACCAGGCTGCTTTAAACGTTTGAGTTTAATGAACGTGAAATAATAAATCAACACATTCTTCTTCAGTTAAATTACTAATAGAAAAATCTGAAGGCAGCCTGGAAGACTAGCTTTTCTAAAGCTTCTTAAAGCTGTAAGATTCAGGGATTTGGAGACCTCTCTGGTGGACACTTTATAATAAGGGTACATGAACTGACAGTAATTAAGGCATTTACTAAGGATAAACTCATCAGAAAGTAATGAACCATTAAGCAGGAAGAAATGAATAAGACGTATATTAATAACTGTGAGGTTAAATTATTCAACATGATCTAATGTGTGAAGATGAAGGTAATTAAGGCTTTCTTCAATGTATGAATATATCAGGAATTAATGTCTTACATAAGCATATTGTATACATATAGAGTGTATATATATCTTAACTGTACCAGTGTTTTTATAGAAATTAAAATCTGATATAAACGTGGGTCATGGGTCAACTGTTAATGCATCAGATATTAAGCACTGATTACTGATTATTCATGATGAATGTATGTCTGTGGCCCCTAAAGTGAAGAACAATTCACACGTTATTACCGATCAAATACTGACAAAAATGTTTTGTTGACATGAAGCACAGCCAAGACATATACAAAAATTGTCAAAGCATGGTTTTATTGGGGAATATTACAAGTTGCTCAGTAAACAGACAGAATTATGTTATTTGTAACAAATAAAGTCGAGTCAAGTCAAAGTTTATCCAGCGCTTTTTACAACAGGCATTGTCGCAAAGTAGCGTCACATAAAAATCCAGGTCCACACTGGATAGCAAACAATAACAGAAGAGCAATATATACAGAAAATAAGGGTTTACTATTAGTATAAAATATTAAAATACAGAAAAGGGGAAAGGCAGGCGAAGCAATGGCTATGATTAAATAGTTCGAGTCTATGCAGCATCATCAGAAGGGTCAGTTCATGCAGGTGAGGTCTGCACATCGTTGTACAGCAGGAAGCTCCATAGTGGTCAAACCAGTCCAGAAGGCTGGCTGGCAGTGGACGCCTGATCAAGGCAGATGAAGCAACAGCATCAGACGCACAGGATAGGCAGTTGTTCAGCTCAGCAAAGAAAACACAGAGAGATAGTTCTGTTAGTTCAAAGACAAACAACTCAGCTGTTTGGGTGTTTGGTATGCCCTGGGGTAGTGCATAGGCAGCGACGCCCAATCCTTCAACTTGTTAAAAAGAGATCCCGCCAACATTTAATACCATTAGTGGTAAAGCATGTTCGGCCTGGCACCGCTGTCATTAGTGATGAATGGAGAGCTTATCAGGGGGCTTTTTCAAACATGGGTTATACTCACTTTACTGTGAATCACACCCATTGGTTTGTGGATCCCATTACCAGAGCTCACACCCAGAACCTTGAGAGGGCATGGCTCACGTACAAATCCACTATTTGGCGCCTGAGAGGAAACAGAACTGAGAAAATGCTTAAGGAACATCTTGCAGTCATAGAGTGGAGATGGCTTGAGAACAAGCACAAGAAGGGTCCGCTTGGCTGTTTAATTGAGGATATCTGGAACCAATTCACTGTGTAGGTTTTGTAATGAAATGATATACACACATTAAAGAAAACCTTTTACTATTACTTTTTTTAATGAACGCATTTTACCGTAAAAGGCCAATGGACTTGGATTTGGTAATGATTCTAACTCACAATATGTTTATCCAGCAGTGCATTTTGAGTTTATGGAGCTCATTGATAATTCACTACAGTGTGTTAAACCAACAGCTGATCTTAAGTGGGTGGAGTTGATGGCTAATTGAACTGATTTTGAGGGTTTTTTTCCATGTGTTGTGGAACGAGTTGGATTAATGGTGACATCCACTGGTTTTATTCAGTTCATTAAATTGTTTAGAAATTTGTAAGTAAAAAATACTGTTCTTTCCTTTGAACTGTGTGAAGTGTCCTTCTGTCCCTTATATTGGTCAAAAATTATTAATGTTTATAAATTTGTCAGTATGCCTCAAACGTAGGCCTTGTGAGAACCTGAAAGAATAAAGAGATCACATGGCGTTTATTATCGGGTACATTAAAATAACTACTGTACATTGAGTAAAAAAATCTTAGCATGTTTACTATTTAAAAGTGGTTGGAAAAAATGTGTCACACATACACAATTCATTTCAAAGCATATAAAACTTTCTAAACATGTAGATGTTATTATTTACTGTATGCACAAGCTAAGAAATTGGTTAATTAACTAAACTAAATTATGGCAGTCGATCGCACACAAATAACATCGACACGATTTCAATGTTTAAATTACTGTGTTTTGTCAAAATCTGTGTGTCTGTAACACATTTTACTCATTTGAAAACACTTGTAAATTCAAAGTGCCACTTC